TTGCAAGTGGCCAGAGAGTATTGCTACTTATGTCCCATGAAAGATAAAAATGAATGGCAGGAAATGTTTCAAATGTCATTTAAGTGGATCTGCACCAGGTATCCTGCTAATGTAATCAAGTGTGGAGTTAATCTCCCTTTTATGTTTTTGTAAGGAAAGGAGCTTCATCTTGAAATTATAGTTTAAAGAAAAGAGGCATGGATGGGAGACATGGAGGTCATTCAGGCAGCAGCAAGTGAAGCAGAGCAACTCCCATTTCTGCTCAGCCAGATGTTCACAAGCCTTTGCCAACAGCTCAAAAGGCTGATGCTGTATAAATTACTATATCCCAGGGACTAATTCAATGGGTGTGATGGAAGAGGAAGGGAGGAGGATGGTACCCTGTCGGTCAGAGGTCAGGTGTAACACGTGGGACTGAACCAAACAATGTTCAGCCAGTTCCACTTTTTCTTTTATTACTGTGGATTGAAAACACTCTTTATTCTTTTTTTTTTTTTTTCCCATAGAAGGCAGAAGAAAAATCAGTACTTTAATTAAGACTATAACAACAAATTATTATTTTCTTTAAAAAGTCCCTTTTCCCATGTGGTCAGAAGAGGTGAAAACCCAATGAAGTTTAGCCTCTGACAATTATCTTTGAAAAGATAAAATCTGTTTGAAAGTTGCAAGTTGTCTGATAAAATATCTTTAAAAACTTCTCTTCCTTTCTGGAAAGATGTTGATTTCAAACCAAACTGCCTTCCCTCCACTGCTACATTTGTACCAAATTCACCTAAAGGGATCCCTTTTCACTTAGCCTGAGTTGTTTTTCACAAAAGTAAAAACAAGCAAAAATACAGAGTAATAAATAATATTTTTCATTTAGAGAATATAGACTTCTTTTATTCAAAGTTCTGCTGTTGCAGGAAAATAGCCACTTGTAGGTTGCTACTCGTCACACCTGTCTATCTCTACCACAAGCCTGGTTATCTATGATTCTCTGCCTTTAGAAACAAATGCTGAGCTAAGGGAATCTCTCTGTCTTTCAAGTATATATACCTTCCTGCTATCATGTGAAGAATAATTTAATAAACGTGACTCTTGGTTCGTGCAGAAAAATAAATGAAACTCAGGCCCATACTAGTACTTGGTTTTCTATCAGTTTCAAAAGAGTTGACTCTGATTTTGAATGTTTGAGATTGGCAGTGCCGATGCTTTTCAATTTTATAGGCTATCTTTCAACCTACAGATTAAAAACAGGGTTTCAAGGTTAATGGAGTACCAACTGCATCGCAAACACTGTTTTAGCAGTGAGGAGCCCGTGGACTGACAGTGCCTTTTCTTTCATAAAATAAGAAAATAAGCAGTGCCCTCTAGTGTTAGTTAACGTCAGAGAGAACCACAAGGAGACTTTTCTGTCACCTGTGTATATGCAATTAAAACTATTTCACAGCCATGGATGCAGCTCTTCATTTCTTGAAGAAAAGTAGTAAAAGTGGCTGCAAAAGCATCACTTATCAAGACATGGCTGTCAAAGCCACCATCATCAATAGGTAGATGAAGTCAATGTGTGAGATACCACAAACTCCCTGACCTATGAACTCACTGACCTGCTTTATTTTACCTTGAAGTATATGAATGTAGAATGTCTCCAGCCTGCACTTGGCCTGGCAAAGGACAGGAAATGTATTTTATCAAAGGGCCAGAGAAGTTTCAGGGAGAGGTGTAGCAGCTCATGTTCCTGCTTGAAATTCAGAGGTTTGTTTTCTGGCGTAAAGCAGTTGGTGTACGTATTCAAGCTTATCTGACACCTTTTAGCAAAGCAGTGAGTCTTTTGGACTGTCTTTGGAGCACCTCAAGAATTTTCTGGGTTTAGTGATAGTAGCAGGCTAGACTCCTGTTTCAAAGCTGTAGCCATCATTTATTTCAGTCACAGACAACTTTCCCAGGGAGGTACTATGGGAATTAGGCATCTCTCTGCTTTTTAACACGGAAAGTTATTTCTCAGTCTGCTTCAGAAGGCAAGACTTTAAACTGCTTATTTAGAACAAGCAATAATAGATAGCAAATAGCATTTGCTATCTAGTTTCTGAATCATCTGCAGTGTGAAAATATTCTAAGCAAATGTGGCTTTCCTTTCTCTCTCTCTCTCTCTCTCTTTTATTTAATTTTTTTTATTTTGTTTTTCTACCATAGGAAAGGAGCTCAGAACTGATTTTTGCCTTTCAGTTTCTGCTGATGCATTTTTGTAGCCTCAGTTGCAGTCTAGAGCTTTCAGGATGAGCCTGAGATCCCTGGGGTGCTAAAGTTACTGCTAAGAAGTAGGAATTCTCTAAGGCCTTGAGAGCATCTTAGCAAGTGTCCCCCAGCTATAATCTGAAAAACAGCACACACAATAAAAGTACAAGCTTCTTAAAGGCCCGTGAAGTACCTCAGCTTACACAGGCTTTCCAGCCCTGGGTGAGATTCACCCTGGACTGAGGTTTTCTAAGCCAAAACATCTTCTGATGTGGCATGGCCACCTCACTTTCCTCCTTGGGTTCTGGTCAGTGAATGTTTCTGGTGGCTGCCAGCACTGTGAGAAGTGTGTGTCGGGGCTTGTGCAGAGAGTGTGTTGCCCGTGTGTAAGAGTAACAGGTGAAGATGCTGTGGACTTGTATCTTTGAGCTGATTGAACAAGATCAGCTCTGCATGAAGAGGTACCTGCAAGTGTACATTGTCTCTGGTAGAAGATGTCAGAAATGAGATTACTTACCTGGACTGTCACTCCTCAGATGGATTTTCAACCTACCTCAAACATTTGTGACACGTGTCACAACTGTTGTCAAACTTGATACTTGCAGTAGTTGTTGATTCTTAGCTCTAGACCCCCTTTTTGAGCTGCAGTCAGTAACTTCTATCCTCTTTGCTACAGACGAGCAGGGAGAGCATTGTTTGTGCTGACTGCCAAGGATGAGGTTATGCTCTGTGAAAAGACTGAGGAGAAAAAATGTTCAGCATTGTTCCTCTGAGATGTACCAAAAACCTTCACGCACCAGTGAAACAACCAGTGTTATGGTATCTTAACAATGGTTTGTCAGGACTTCACCCCAGGCTGGGATGATAATTTCTGCTTAAGACCAACAGATGGCATTTGTTAGAACATTGATATTTATGTACAAAGTTGCCAGAACTTTAAGAAGTGGTGCCTCTCTTAATTAAGATGATAATGCACTGCCTTGTTTGGAGACATTCTGCTCATAATGATGCTGGTGAATTATGAATAGAGGGAAATTAGTAATAACAAATGCCAGATGGAGGTAACTTTCAAAAAGGAATATTTTGTGTAATGTGGCATGTAAAGTTGACAGACCGGGTCTTAGAAGATCTTTATTATTCTTTAGGCTTTCCTGACAAAATTATTCTTTATCCTGCCAAGAAATGTGGTCCCACATGCCAGTGCGTTTTTAAGTGAGAGTAATTAAAGTGTGCCTCTGAGTTTATGGCCTGAAGTGAAAACTGTTCCTCCAATGTTTTGTCAAGAATCTATAAAAAGTGCAAGAAAGGAGACAACTTATAACAACAATAGTTTTGCCAGTTCTGTACATTCTGCCTTTGAAATCAGAGGCAATTAGGGATGAACAAAACTACTTTCAAAGTTAAAAAAAATAGTGTTAGTTCTGCTGACATTTTGCTTCATGTTTTTCCTTTGGTTGAAGACGGCTGTGTGGAATAAGAAGCTTTTTTTCTAAAATTAAACCTCTCCTTCCTTGATTGAAGTAAAAAATGATCACTGAGTTATAAAGGCATTGAATCCTCAAACGCTAGTCCCTTTTTTGCAACTTCCTGACAGAGGGAAATAAAATTTAATTTGGTTTTGTAGTGTAAATTGGTAATTAAAAGAGAAAGAGACAAAGGAAAGTAATAAATATAATGCTGGGTTTTATATTTTTTTTTTCATAAGAATATTCTTATTATTATTCTTATTATTATATATGGGCATTCCAGCTTTGATCTCAGGACCTGCTGGCCACTGTCCATTGCAGAGAGGGTGCTTCCATGATGATTTGTGGGCGAGGCAAAGTGTGTCATCTGAGGTGACCGTGAAGATTTCATTTTCCTTTGTCATTGCCCTTAGATTGCATCTATGGGATTAAATCTAGGATTGTAGAAGTTGCATAAAGTCTCTTTCTATCAGACACACTAAGCATAGTAGACCAGGAAGATTTGAAGAGCTCACCTTCTGCTCTATCCCTGCACAGTCACAAATTTGCAACAACAGACTTGAGATGAACAGTCCAAGACTTCTTTCAAAGTCACAAACAGCAGGGTCCAGAAAGATAGCAGAGTTGCTTTTGTCTTTAAACTATTTCTGTGAGAATGTGCTAGTATGGGAATAAATGAAGTAATACATTTCAGTATTGGATGATGAAAAGAAGGCTTCTGCTTCATTTAGAAAAAGGCCAAGATTAGTTTTCAGGAGAATAAAACACTGTTTTGAATTATGCTAAGAACAGACTGTCCGACTATTTCTGGTATTAACGCTCATTGCTATTGCAGAAAGGATTTAACAATAGAAAGATGAGAACATGAGAAAAGAATGTCTAGAGGGAAGGCAGTCAAGGATGGGATTCAGTGGCTCTAGCTTTGATAACAAAGGCAAAGAGTGGTCTCAGCCGAGTCTTTTGAGATTAATCTGGTACTTTCAATAAACCCTAAATTTACCTTAATACAGAAAGAACAGGATTTCTAAGCATTTTCAAAAACTCCAGAAAGAATTGTTTCTCACTGATCTTGTTGAAGCTATTGTGAATTTAGCTGGGAGATGCCATCTTAAGTTATAGGCAACTAAATCCTGGTTTACATGCACATTTAATTAATAAGTCCTATATCTATATTTTTAAAAGCTAATTTTTTTAAGAGATGTCTGCCCAATGGGAAGTGGGTGCTGTGATCCTTTCAAAAGCTGTACTATATTCTTGCTGTGTTGACAGTTTTGTTTATGCTGATATTTTTTCTGTTGTCTTATTTTGTTTTCCCAGAAAAACTTTACAATTCCAATGGACGGGAGCTGAGACGGGCACTTTTTTCCTTGAAACAAATATTTCAGGTAAGCAAATAATAGCTGTCTATTCTGTAATTTGAACATGAATTTAATTTTTTTTTTCCTTTTTTAAATTTAGAGAATAAGTTTCTGGCAAGAGAGACTTAACTTTAAGACTTCGTTTGTAATTTGGAATTAGCCATTTCCTTCTTAGGGTCTTCTATTTTTATGATCTGCAAACCTTCCCATGTTCCTTCAGTCTGTCAGAAGGACCAGACACAGTGTAATGGCAGAGTGAGTAGTGTACACCTGCCAGGAGAGGAGACAAGAAAATTGAAACTCTTAGGTGGAAATTTAGACTGCTCTTTAGACAGTGGTATAGCTTGGTATTGGGAAGACTTGGAGGGGAGTTTGAAAAGGTGAGCCAGGGAAACCATGAGTTAGGGTGATGGCCCAGTGTTGGCCTGATAATGGACAGATAGTCTGGGTTTAAGCCACACAAAAAACTGAAAAGACTTGTGGAAGACATGCAACAGTTCTGATGAGGAACCAAAATGTACTGGGAGATCTCTGAATGTGTTTGAATTTAGACTGAGTTTAGAGGAAAAGATTTACTGATATGCCGAAAAGATTCTTCATAGAACTGAGGAGGATATGGTAGTGACTGATCATTTTAAGGAAAAGTATGGATTTGAATGTGAATGTTCATTATGGAGGAAATCTGGAATCAGGAGGATTTTGGGTCATGTGGGAAAGATAAGTGGTATGGTTGATGAGAAATTGGCTTGAATTAAAATCTTGGATTTCAGATTGGTTTTACTGGATAAGGAGAAGGATTTGGAAAAACTGCAGGACTGCAAGGAAACTTGCTGGAGAGAAGAGGTCAGGAAAAGTGAAAAAAAAACCCCATCTGTGCTAATTAGAGCATACTCTCAATGTGATTCTAAAATGGAATTCATTTGAGACATTCCATTTTCAGTAAATATAAATGAGAACAATAAGAGAAGCACTCCTCTTCCTTTACTAATGGATCCAAATGGAGGATGCCAGTCTACAATCCCTTTTTTTAGCTATAATAGGTAGGTGCAAAGATTTCAAACCCTTAGTTTAACATTTTTGCTTTGATTTAAATAGGCATTTATTCTAAGAAGAATAAAAACATTTAAGAAATCTGCAAGACTGCAGAATTGCAAATTTTCTAAACACATAATCCTTTTTATAGGTTTCAAAGTTAAGCATTTAGGATTCAGAAAATGCCAGAATTAAAATGTTCTAAACAATAAGAGTGAGTGGTGAAGGGTGGACCATATAATGTTAAATCTTGTTAGCTGAAGATGTGTTCTAGGTCAGAAAAATGTCCCTGAATTTTGAAATTCTTGGACAAAGAAGGACTTCCAGTTCAAAACAGTCTGGTCATCTCATTAGTGCAGATTGGGAAAACCATTGTGTCTTCAAGAAACATTGTCCCCCATTCCCAGAGGGACACTGCTTGAGAGTCACAAGCATTCAAGTTGGGTTTCCCTGTGAGCTTGCCAAGCATGTGGACTGTGTGCTCACAGAACATGAGGCAGGTTTCCAATCTTCCGTCTTTCCATCTTCTCTGGTTTCTTCTTTTTGTGCACCTCAGCTGTTTCTGGGAAATATTTGTGTTTCTCTGCATGTATGTGTTACACAGATGATCTGGGAACTTGCATGTACTTAGCAGTCAGTGCTAAGCCTCTCTTCCTACCCATCCTGCACCTCCCATGCCCTTTTGCGGCGGTATGGCAGGAGCTGCCGAAAACACTTCCTTCCCGAGAGCTCTGTCTCCATGGAAAAGGGGTAGCTCAGCTCATGCACCGTGGTGGTATCTGACGGTCGGCAAATGACGAAGGGGGTTCTTTGTATGGTATTCCTGTGGAGTTTATTGATCTCACACACAAGGGAACCAGGGACAAAGAACCGAGAACAAAGGAGGTCCAGGGTTTTATACAGACCGGGAAGAGCAGCGCATTGGGTCTGAGACCAATGGGTAGAGGGCACAGGGGCTGTGCAGAGGCATGGCTAACAACCAAGCAGGGTTCAGGGGTGGAGTGACAGGAATGGGGACCAATAGGGAAAACAGGAGCAGGGAACATTCTGGAACTGGGGTGGAGAACAGGGATGACATAATTCTGGGGACCAGGAGTGACATAACTGGGATGATGTAATTTGGATGATGTAAATGGGGTACATAAAACAACAAAGGACCGTGGGAGAATTACTCCTTAAATGTGGGGTCACATCCCAGGGTGCCCCACTAACAGGATTTCCTACCAGCTCCTGGGATACAACACCCTTCCATCATGAATTCTCCCAGTTTGGATATTCATAAATGTCATCTTGCCTATAGGTTATTTTGAAGTCTAGTAGGTATTTCTGAGCACAAGTGCTCAGTGCTTTCAGAGAGCACACCATTAAGATTTCTTTTCCAGCTGATCAGTTTTCTAATGAAAATGTTGTCTAAATACTTACGCTAGTTAATTTAAGGGGTTGACTGTGTTGAAGAGTAATGTGAGAGGAGGGAAAAGGGATGCACACAACCCATATCTGTGTATGAATTTAGTTTTAAGTGAAACCTGTCTGACTGTTTCAGGACTTAATTTTCCTTGAAGAATTTAACTTTCTTGTTATCTAATGTATGTGGTATGGGAAGGAATTTAGGAATTACTATATAAAGAAGCTCTTTCCTGTGCAACTGTGGCTAATTGTCCAGCAAACATACCCTTAAAAGAATTTACATATAGTCTTAAATTACAGGTTTGCTTTGGGGGTACTTGATAAGTGTTCCTCAGGCTGGAGAGTATTCATAGAATATATCATGTATTTGAGGTAGTACACTTTCAATTGTAAAACAAGCCCCTGTCAACCCAGGTTTACCGGCCAGCTTCGCTGCCCTTAGCAGCAGCATTGCTAAGGGCATCCTTAGAGTATGATTTTAGTTTATCTCATAATGCAACATGGGAGAGAATGTGAGGTAATTTTTATATCAGTTTTAGAAAGGAAAGCTGTTCCACTTCTTTAACGAAGAAAAATACAAGTAAATATAATAAGGTTATATTATAAATGAAACATTATTGTTCAAAATGTCTTTTGTTTTTTATTTTGTTTTGTATATGACATAAAAGAATGTCAGCATTTGAAATTTATCATTATGGTAAAAGTTTTTTTAAAGTGTGTTTTTCAACATAAAAATATTTTTCTGATTTTGTATGCCATTATAGAGGGTATTTTAAATTCCTTGAGAGTGTAACATTTTGGAAATAAGATGTTGACTTAAAAAGAGTGTTTTCATAATAACAAGTTCTCAGAGTGTTATGGAGACTTCATCATGACTTTAAGTGCCAGGACAGTTCATAACACCATTTTTTTATAATTTCATCATTGCTGACTCAATTTGGCACAGTTCTATGTCAGGATCATTTTTAATTTAAAGACCTTCAAGGTAGTGTGCAGTCTCTCATTTGCATTAATTAGGAATAAGCCCAAGTTTTACATTGAATTTGAATTCCAAATAGTTGGACCTCTTGAGTTTCCATGTGGGGCCTCAGCAAAGCTTAGCACTGTTTGGCAAGAGCAATGTCTTTGTTTCAAAATTTAGATGAAAGATTCATTTGGCAAGTCCACACTTGGAATTTCTCTTTGATTTATTCTGGTGGGCTGGTTTTGGCAAAATGATAAAGGTTATGTGGAGCACTTTTCTTTGACAGTACTGCCATTCTGTTCCAGTCACTCATTCTGAAGGAGTGAAAGAGCCACAGTCATCATCTTTTTCTGGACTGTACAGCAGTTTTCTTCCTCTGTTTATCAGTATGTCTTTTGACAAACAAACTTACAGAGTAAGATATGACTGACAACCAGTACAATTCCTTCCCTTTTGAATGGATTTTCTGACAGACTTCTGAACTGCCTGTTTCTTGTATTTATCAAAACATCATTATTTTTGTGCAAAGTGCTAAAACTTCCAAAAGCATTGAGCAGAATCCAGCCGAACATGGCACTTAGAAATCAGGCTCAAAAAGCACTCTTCATTTCATAAGAGAATTAAAAATACATCTGCTTAAAGCATTTAATTCAATATCAATCTTAAAAGCAAAAAAAATTATCAAAACCAGAAAAAGAAATGTAAATAGTGCTGTGAGATTTAAGTGATATTCAAAAAGTTTATTTAACATGGCCTGTGATACAATGGGATGTAATATAAAGTAGTCACACTTTATAACCTATAAGCAAGTGTACCTTGTAGTTACAAAGCATGGTTTCAAATCATGCAGATTAGATCGTTTCAAAATAGGAAATAACTGGATAAGAATATAGTGCTGTAAGAAAAAATAAGAAAGTCATAAAGCATATTTCAAGTTTGTTGAAATCTATAACCTTGTGGAAATCTGCTTATTAAAGTTTTGGAAAATATTTTTAATCAATATCAATGTATGGATTAGGTTTTCTGAAAGGCAGACCTCAACTGTATATTTTAAAGTCTTCAGGAAAAAAAGAGTTATTTTTTAGAATTGTTTTGCCTACAAGTATCATTTGACAGGTGCAGGAGATCTCACATTAGTTTTCTTAAGGAGCCTAGATTCCTCTTTTGTGTTGTGATCAGAGTATCAAGGGACACAGTTACAAAATTCTCTTACAGAATTTTCCTCTGTTGTTGAGAAATTCATTAATCATTGAACAATTGGGCTTTGTGTTAAAAAATGTCGCAAGGAACAGCTATATGGGGGCCCTGGAAACATTAACTAGAAGGTGTTTGGAAGGCACAAGCTTATCAGTGAGTGAAATCAAATGTCACACACTTCACCTGCTAAGGAGTCATCAATCATCCTTAGGAGTGCAGAAGGAGTATTCCGTGTTTGCCTCATTGATCTCAAGGAAGGAGGCTGCTCCTTCCCCTCCTGCAAGCATGACTGATGACTCTGTAGGGTTTGAAGCTGTGTGACACTTGATTTAGGAGCTGCTGTCATCACTTGTGAGGAGGCTGCCTGCCACCTCTCATCCTTAAGAGCCTCTTGGAAGGGCTCTTGGTTAAGTCATGAAAAAGAGAA